GCACCAGACCCTCCCGGCTCTTGAGCTGTGCATTTCCCCATGATCTTTGCTCTCACGCTCTCAGTTCATTTCATATTTCTCTTATTGTCAAGATGTCAATGTCATCTCATTTTCTCGGCTGAGATGTAAAGGAGATATAAATACCCACAATGACACATGGGGAACAGAAATACTAAAGCAATAGTCCAGCCTGTCCATTCAGGGGGCCCGGCATGAGAAGGTCGGAGTGTGATTTTTGCAATGCTCAGTCCATGAGGAGTCCATGAAGGGCTCTCCATAGTGAAGGACACCACAGTGATGGGTACCACTCTGCCGCCTTTACTGTGAGACCCTCCTCTCTCCTCCTGCAGTTCCCTGCTCAACTCACTCAGAGGTGACCGGGATTTCAGAGACCCCCTCACCGTGCAGGCAGGATTGTGCTGAATGACGTGAGGGTCTTGGTGAAGAAACGGGTAATGATTTCATAAGATCTACGCACAAGAAGGCCAAACAAAGGCTGCCAAGCCAGAGTGCTCAGCTTGATAGCTGCAATACCATTTCTAGAACAAATAGTTCTTAGAATACCGGGAGCAATAAAGCTTGCTTCCCTCAGGTATCTTTGTTGAAAGACTGGCTACAGCTTGTGGACCACTATGCTCGACTGGAGATGCTCTGAGAACATCAAAAGGTACTGGGCAAACCTGTCTGTGCTGAGGCCCATGCCTTTCCTCTCCCCGGCAGCTTAGCCTTGGGAGGACCATAATTAACTCTGAGACTTCGACCCCCTGTGAAATTTAGCTAAAATTGGTTGATGCCTTCAAAACCAATCAGGGACATACGCACAATGTGATCTAACAAGCTTGTTTCCATAGAAACTAAGCTGAAAGATATAATTTCCTGAATTAAAAAAAAAACAAACCCAAGGCAAGCTGATCAGTGGAAACCAAAAAGGGAACCAGCTGAATGTCCCTGTGTTGCACCAGCCAGCCTGTCCTGCCTGGGGTGTGCAGAGCCTTGCACCATCCCGTCCCATGCCTTCGCACCCCTTTGCTCTGCTGTCCTCCACTCCACTCCCACCTTTGCTGTCCCCTCCAGCTCCTGCCAGTCCACTATTCAACATCCTTGCTCCTCTACCCACCCAGTCCCTGCCTTTGCCCCATCTCCTGCCTGCAACTCTGCAGAGACCTCCAAGTCCTCAAGCCCCTGGCTGTCTCAGCGGGAAGAGTCTGAGCAAGAGGCCAGCCAGGCAGGAGTGCTCGGAGGGGTGAGACATGCCCGGTGCAGGCAGTGCGGCCTCCCTGCTGAGTCCCTGCCAGGCAAGTGCACCCCATAGCCCTTGACCTGCCCAACACCCCCAAATATTCAGTGGGGAGCGCCTCCCTGCCACTGCAGTGGGTTGCCATTGCCGCAGTGGGTCACTCCTCCAGCTCTGAAGTCAGCCGGGTGGTTTTTATGAGCCACTTTTGCAGAAAACTTGTTTTAAATAGGAAAAAAATGGCTGAAGCAGAGTCTGCCGGGGAAACTCCCACCCCCTCAGGGTGAGCACGCAAATTCAGCACAAGGTCGTGCTGTGGAAAAGGCAGCCAATTTGCTTCGGTAAGCACAGCTCTGCTGAGATGAAGCTGGACCGACAGCATACACGGTCCCCTCTCCCTGCCATCATGTGCACTGTGACAAGGTCCCTCTCGGTGACATTGCTGATCAGACCTATCTCCTCCCCATGGCAGCATGAACCAAATTCCCCCCGCACATTTCCTACCTGCTGCCTGCCCCCTCCCTCGGTCTGCCAGCTCTGTTACCATCCCTCTCCTTATAACAGTGCCTGACGGGACCCCGCCAGGCCGTGCAGGTCCCCAGCCCCTGGCAGCCACCATTGCTGTCACTGGTCTTGGCTTGCTGGTTGTCCTACCATGGTTTTACTTGGTAGGAGAGGCCAAGAGCTGCTGTTGGTCCAGCCGAGCAGTCCTGCAGGCTGCACCTCCGGGAGCCTCTGCTCCTCCCTCCTAAAATTTGACTTCATTTAACATGTAGGCGGAGTGACTATTTTTGCACTGAACATTTGCATTTGTGAATATTCACATTTTCCAAGCAAAGACCGATTCGTGCTTCAAAACAGGCCTGATCTCACCCACTAAGCTCGTGCACCTGGATGAAAACCTCCACCAAGGCTGCAATGGCGTGTGGTCTGCCTGGCTCTGCTCAGCTCCTCCTTTTGCTTTTACTAAGCACAAACTGTGTTTGCAAGATGGGTTGGGAGCTGAGCACCATTGGAAGAGCTGGCCATGGCAGCACCTCATGGCCCAGGCCAGGGCATTGCCCCCAGCCCCCCCACACACAGCAAGACCTCATCCAGCCTGAAAGTCTCCGTGTTTCCACAGGGAGAGCAGACAGCAGTTTGAGACACTGGAATTTGAACCTCTTCTTGAATGCTGGCCGGACTGAATGTCATTCAAAGCCTCGGGATAACTTGTTAGTCAATTCTATTATCTCCCCTACCAATATCACAGAAACCCAGAGAAGTGAATGCAACCAAACAACCTTCAAGCCCCAGAGAGCTCTTGCCCAATGTACAGGCTCCATTAGGATCCTCCTGCTCCTCCGCGGGTCCCCCTGCACCCGGGGAGCACCCAGGACCCCCCCGGCTGTCACTAGTGATGCATTTGCCTTGGCTGAAGAGCAGCGAGCCCAGCAGCCTGGCAGAGAAACGCTGCAGAAATCATCCAGCACTATGTAGGTCAACACTGGCAGCTGCGAAAAAATAATGTACCGGGGAATGCGGGAGAGGGAGAGAGGAAGCTGCAGGTTTAACTGGAGAGGACGGAAGGACAGACAGACACATAGATAGGCAGGGTAGCGCAGACATCATTAACCCTCCTGACGGGCACTCTTGATTTACACCACATGTATGAGGTACTAGACTAGAAACATGCATCAGTTACCTTATCAGAATATATAGACATGCGTGTTGTCAGACCAATGACAGGGATCCTGTAGAAGCCAGCTGTGTATGATACAGGTGTTGGTGTTAGGTGATCGTTGGGAGCAGGAGGGTGACTAACTAATATTGCATAGACCTGTAGGACAGGATACATGACACAAACATTATTTCACAGGAGCACAGCGGCCATCGAGTGTGATTATTTTCCTTTTCTTTTCTGCAGCATTAAACAGCCCCACGTTAACACGATAACGGCATTCAAATAATTGGGAACAGCGAAGCAAGGGCTGCGCTGGGGAGCGAGGGGTGCTGTGGCGCGGCTCGGGCTGCAGCCCGCGCGGACGTGATGGGTCTGCTCAGGGTTATATCTTAATGGAAACGCTGTGCCTAGCCGCCCCACTCGCTAAACTAATAACTTTCATGGATTACAGATTAAAGGGAAACATCTCCCTTACAGTCACACTGTGTAATGCGATTTCTTTAACCACACATTTAATACTCGGTTGTAATTCCCCTCTGAGGACTATTACAAACAAAGTGGTCAGCTGGGACTCCGAGCAGGAGAAGGAGCACAGAGCCGTGGAGTGAATCAGCCATCTGGCCCTGAGCACGCAGAGAAATGAGAAAGCCGAGGGGCGGCGGGGGGCAGGAGCTGGGACCTGCCCACAGCACGCCGGGGCGGTGGGGCACAAGGGATCTGGCTTATACCAAAATGGGGAAGGAGGATCTCAGCAAGATCCTGCTGTTATTACAGGGCTGGGATTTTGGTCTCCAGCAGGATCTATTTTGTGTCAAATGGAGAGGAAGGAGCTGGGTAATCCCCGGGGGATCCTTTGTTACACTAATGCCCTTTCACAGCACAAGGAATGTCCCCAGCTGGTGACAGGTCTCCAGCTAGGGTGAATCAGTGCAAGGACTCTGATGTCTGGGAGGAAATAAGACTTCTTCTTCCTCCAAGCATCTGCCCGAGCCCCGGGACATGCTCTGCGCCCAGGCTGGAGGGACGGCTTGCTAGGACGGGAGGGGAGGATGAAGCACGCCTGGGGAAGTGGACCTGGAGACTGGGTGGAGTGGGAAGAACGGAAGATCCTGCCTCGGTTGGGTGGGAGCAAGCTGAGGGTTCAGAGCGAGCTGGGGCAGGGGTTGGAGACCCTACTATGGAAGAAGGAAGGAGCTACTGGGGAAGGGGTTGGGGAGGTTACCTGGGGAGGCAGGAGGAGGGGAGTGCCCTGAGCAGAGGTGCCCGGTGCCATGCTGACAAGAGGGGTGGGTGAGGACCTGCACCCAGCAGGACTGGGGCATGGGTCTTGGGCAGGACCAGGCACTGGGGGGAGAGGCTGGTGGCTGTGTGGGGGCAAGGGCAGCGCTGTGCCGCACAGCAGCTGACCGACGGGAGCCATTTTGCATGCGCGGGCTCCCAGCCCCTCCTCTGCCTCGCAGCCCCCTGCTTGGGCACAGCGCCAGTGGCCAGCGAGCGAGGACAGAGGGTGGCTATGCCCCACGCTGGGGCCGTGGGGCTGGGAGAACCTCTGCATGTTGCGACAGCGTGGCCACCCCCAGCACCCTGACCCACAGCCCCCTCCGCACCCCGGCTTAGCTGCCCCCCGTGTCCCACCGCTCACGCAGGGACGTGCCAGCACCTGCAACCCTGCATCGGGCCGGGGCTCCGTGGGGTTTGCCATGGGGACAAGGCTTAGAGGTGACATGGACACAGGCATCCATCAGCTGGGTTGCTTAAATGAGACCTCGGCTCAGCGAGGGACCCGACTGAGCCTTCTCCCCGCTCCCTGCCAGGCAGTGGGTATCTTTTACAGCCTGCGCTGCCCTTCCTGCCCGGCTCTGCCAGCATCCCCAGGGATGTCTCCAGCCATCCTCCATCTCAGCATTGGGAAGCTGAGCTGCAAACGTGTCAGCTCTGCTCCACTGTGCATCTCTTGCCCCTCCAGCTCCCTCCCCTCTCCCTGGCTTTGTGTGTGCCTGGGTGTGCATATATGTGCATGTGGGTGCGTGTCGGTGTGTGTGAGTCTCCATGGTGCGGGCATTCATACAATTTGTGTGCATGTTTGTACCTATGCCTGGGTCCATGTACACCTTTGGCATGTGCACGGGTGTGTTTGAGGTGAAGGTGGGTTTGTACCTGCCTGTCTGCCCACCTGATGGCCCCGAGTGGGGGGAATGGGGCTGGTTAGCTGGGCTCAGCAACCAGAGCACTCACAGGGGAGATGGAGGGGCTGGGCCA